AATTGAATTGCCGGAATGCACAACCGACGCAGCGCGGGACCAGTAGGCTACTGCATGGAGACCGTTCAATATCAACAAAATTCTTTAAATTAAACTCGCGATAACTCCTTAACTAAACGTGCGATTTTTATGAAATTTGGACAGAATACTTAGATTGGTACAGCGATGCTATTAAAATAAAAAATACAAAATTTTAACCACAATTAATTAATAAATGCATCAATATTATTTAAGTCATAACTATGCTTAAACTAGTAGATATTTATAAATTATATACATATATATATATATATATGTGGTTTTTTTTCTTGGTAAAATAAAGAAGTTTTTCTCCGAATTTGACAATTATTAATAAATTATTATAGCCGTAATACTAATAAATAAGAGAGCCTGCGGCGGCGTAAAAAGCTTAATTGCAACAAATCATTTATTATCAGTAATTATTACTAAATGTGTTTATATTGCACACTGTACAATATAAAACAGGAATTTTATTTTGAAATAAAATTATTACCATATCTTTTAACTTTTAGCAACATTTGCTTCCCACAAATTATTATTCTTCGATGTTTTTCGTCCGAACGAATCGGACGAAAAAGATCGAAGAATAATAATTTGTGGAAACCAAATGTATGTATCTATAGATACATATGATACCAAAAACCGGTATAAATTATATTCCTTACATGTAAATATCTAAGAAATCTTTTTTGTACTTTTTGAATGACATTACTATTACTTTCTGCTGTAGGTGACCAGATAATACAAGCATATTCAAGATGAAGCCTCACTAATGCATACAATATATACAATTTAGTAAGGGATGAAATATGTTTAAAATATTTGGCATTTCTAAGTACAAAACCAAGTACCCTAAATGCCTTATTTAGGTACTATTGTATTGTAGGTAGAGTTGAATTTCATATTTAATTGCAATTTTACATCCAGATCTTTACATTAATAAATTCTACTGCTAATGTTATTTAGATTATATGTTTTATTAATAAATTTATATTTACGTGTGTGTTATAGTTGCACACTTTTCTACATCTTATTTACTTGAAGCCATTCTGATACATGGTCTAGGTCTTTTTGTAACATTTCGTTATCTTTTTCGTTGTTAATTTGTTTATATATTTAAAAATCAAATCAAACAGTAGCCAAGATGAATATTTAACACTTGTTATTATTGATAAAAATAGCAAACAGTAGCGGCCCTAGGTAATCATTTTATTTCAAAATAAAATTCGTGTTTTATATTGTACAGTGTAAAGTGTTCAATGTAAACACATTTAGATATAATAAGTAATAATAAATGATTTGTTGCAAATTAAGCTTTTAACGTGATAAATCGAGTTTAGTTTCGATTCTTGTGCACTTTGCCGCGCGCGGGCTCTTTTATTTATTTGTGTTACGGCTATAATAAATTATCAATAATTGTCAAATTTGGAGAAAAACTTCTTTATTTTACCAAGAAAAAAACCGTATATATATAATTTATAAACATCTACTAGTTTAAGCATAGTTATGACTTAAATAATATTGATGCATTTATTAATTAATTGTGGTTAAAATTTTGTATTTTTTATTTTAATAGCATCGCTGTACCAATTTAAGTATTCTGTCCAAATTTCATAAAAATCGCACGTTTAGTTAAGGAGTTATCGCGAGTTTAATTTAAAGAATTTTGTTGAAATTGAACGGTCTCCATGCAGTAGCCTAAACTGGCCCCGCGCTGCGTCGGTTGTGCATTCCGGCAATTCAATTATAACCTTAAGGTTAACTAATTAATATTATATGTAAAATATAACTATAGTTATAATTTAATATTAATTAATACATGTACAAATGTATAATTAGTGTATTTAAAAAAAATTAAAATAAATATTGTGACTGAAAATGTCTTCATTTTTTGACATGGGGAAAGGGAGGGTGTTACATGCACACATGCGCAATTATAATTTATAATATTTATAATAACATAAAATATTAAATGAAAATATATTTAATATATAAGTGTAATAATTAATAGATAATAATATTGATATTATAGATCTGTTTGTATTGATAATGAAACTGAATTATTTAATATTCAATAACAAGATTTAAATTTTTTTTAAATGAAAATAATCATCCATTTAAATAAAATATGAATTTGGTAATATACAGGGTGTCCGGAAATTGTGCGCAAAAAAGGGCTGATTCTACTTGAGAAATTATTGCCAAAGCTCCTATAAAACCACAAATAAAGGCCTTTAAGGTTTTTTAAATCTATATTTTTTATAACTTATTTTAGTGTACTGATTTAATCAAATTTGGCACTGATGTTTAATAAACTATGAAGGCCTATAACTTTGTTATTCGTGAGTTTTCTAAAAAATATAACTAGCAAAAGAAGTTATGAAGAATGACTTTTCCTCGAAAAATTTAAAATAAATATTTTTACAAGTATAGTTATAACTATACTTGTAAGTCCATCCGTGGACACACTGTATATGTTATAGGATCTTTTGGCAATAATTTTTTAATTAGAATTATCTCCTCAATTTTTTTCCACAGTTTCCGGACACATTAAAGGATCAAATTTTTTAAAAAATCCCACTTTAAACATTTTTAGTTAAAACTTAAAAAAGTTTACTAATGTATAAAGGATAAAAATTTAAAAAAAAATCAAAAAGTTTGTCAACGGAACTTAAATATTTCGGCCGAATTTTTGATTTTATTGCAGTTTGATTTTACTTTTATAACTTCCCAGGCAACACAGGGTCGTAGAAATCACGTAGAATCGTCGACGAATTGGGTCGAATTTGGTCGAAGTTACATTTCAACCATTTTTCGACCTCTCAAAATTCACCAAAACACGACCAATTATTAACTTAGGTCGATGATAACCAATAAATGACGTCATTATCACGTGAACAGATGACGAAATTTTTAAGAAAATATGAAAATATAGTGATAATTAATAAGGAAGTTGGCCCGTTTTAATGGGCCGACAAAAAGTTTTGGAATATTTTTAAAAACAAAAATTATTATTTTTATTTAATTTAAGTTATTTCGACGGAGAATCAACGTGGTTTTAAACTAATTAAGATAGATTAATAATTATTGATCCATTATTGGATTTTTTAAAACAAATTCGCGATTTTTAAATCCTTTATCATTTCATCACAAAATAAGAAATTAACATGTTACTGCAGTTGACAATCACAATTTTAATTTTAGTAAAATTATTTATCTACAGTGTTGCCAGATGTTTTATAATTTTCTTTTTTAAAATAGTAAAATTTAAATAATAATCGATAATTGTAACATAATTTAATCCGCCGCGTAGTTTTGCTTGTTTTTATACAATTTTTGTTTTGATAATTTTATATAATTTTCTGTAAATTTGATCATTTTGTCAACCCTCTTCGATAATATTAATTTTTACACCTGGCAACCCTGTTTCTCTTTGACACTACTTACAAAGCGAGGGAACGTTTATTCCTAAAAAACAATATGGTTGATTCAAGCGTCCAACTTTTATAATCTGTGGTATTTATACAAAGAACAAACCATTTATACTGATAATACTTTGGCTGTGTAAGGTAGGTCAATTTTTGTTTGTTTATTAATGTTTTAATTACTCAGTATATTCCGTAACGAAGTCATAACACCTAAATGAAGTACCTACATAAGCCCCTAAAATATTGACCTGTCATCTGTCTTAAAATTTAATGTGTTTGATTTTATAATAAATGTTTTGAGCAACTTAAAACATGTTTTATTAATTATTAAACCAAAAGCCCTTTATGCACTAGTAAAAATAGTTATTTATTCTTATATCCGATATTTTAATGCCATACATATGTATGTGTTTCTGCAAAGATTAACTAACAATTTTTTTTTGTTATTCTACTTTTTTACATACATTTATTTTGAGTATTAATTATTTACTAAATATATATCTACTATAGTAGTATATATATACTATATATAGTAGGGTTTACCTATTTATTTCTTAAAATTTAAAAGTGCAATTAAAAATTTTTTGTTTTTTTAATTTTGACAAAAGCACATTTCGCATTGAAATATCTGATATCAGTATCGGTAATTATTTTTATCAGTGTATGACCTAATCATATATTATTCAAGAAATAGTACGTGATTATTACGTAAATAATTACGTAATATTACGTGATTTTACACGTGAAATCGCTGTGACATATTGTCGTCAATTTTACGACGATAAGACGTTTCTAAGTTGGTGACTTCGACGTCACCGTAGACGTAAATTAAACGTGATATTCACGTCACTGTGTTGCCTGGGTTATGTATTATAAAGGATAAACATTTAAAAAAATCCACATTAATAAATTTGTCGACAAGTGGGTTTTGTGTTTTTCGGCCATATTTTTGATATTATGATTTTAAAACTGTATTGAGTTTGATTTTACTTTTGCAACTAATTTATTATAAAAAATAAAAATAATCTATATTAAAAAAATTTGTCGACGGGACTTTTCGGCCGATTTTATGACCTTCAAAAATTTATTGCAGACTCTTATTTTACTTTTATAATTAATGTATTATAAAGGATAACATTTTTAAAAAATTCCACATTAAAAACTTTTAGTTGGAACTTTAGTTTTTATCCAACGTTTTAACTACGTATTTCCAACTTTAAATCATACACTCAAACAACGTTATGAGTATAACAAATTATAATACAAATTTCCAACATTGTCTGAATGTAGGTAAACGTTAATTTCTACCAGGGAACTTTATTTGTTAATGATAATCAAGCAATACTAAAAGGCATACATCCTGCCAGATTATTTTTAAAGTAAGACAAAACAATTATAATATATTTAAATAATTTCATTTATTTCAGAGGAAAACCTTCAACAGAAATTAAAATTGAATCTGACATAATTTATTTAATAAAAGAAGATTTCCAAATATTTTATTTTATATATGTTTAAAGTAACTGTTGATAGGAATTTAAAAGAATTGTATTAAAGTTTTTTTAAATATGAAGTAACAATATTAACTTCTTTAGTTTCCTCTTGAATTCCTATTATCATTTTATTTACTTCTTCAACCGCTTCCATATCAATTTCATAATCAGAAGCTTGGCTCAAGTGGTCTTCATCGGAATTTTCTTCTAATCTCTCAGGGATTGTATCCGCAATTATTTCATCAGCATTTACTTGTTCCAAATCTAAAATAAAAAAAACAAAATACTAAAATACGTTCATACAAGTACAATCCCTAGTAAAGTCGAACGTTATAAAAACTTTTAGGGAATTTTATAAAAAAAACTTATAAGAATAACGATTCTTACAAGGCCACCTTATGAGAAATTACAAACAAGGCTAAGAAAACCATGTGCAAAAACTAATCCACAGAAAAGTTTTTGACCACTCCAAGAGGTTACAGTTACGGTTTTTATATAAGGTAAACAAATCCTTATAAGGAATTCCCTATTCTTTTAAGGATTCTGAGGATATATCGATATATTGAAATTTACTTAATGATCACTGGTAAAGTCTAACTTTATAAGTATACTTATAAAGTTAGACTTTACCAGTGATCATTAAGTAAATTTCAATCAACGCTTCAACTATGGCTGATGAACCTAAAATATATTTTACAATAGCTTTCCTAAACCAAAATCGCGAGATGGAAGTTTATTAAGTATTTAATTTTGATTACAATTACAATGCGTTATTGGATATGCGGAGATCCATTAATTACGTGCGATAAAAATGGGGGGAGGGGTCTATCAAAATCTCACCAAATCTCATTTTAAGGAATGGGGGGTCATTTAAAATCTCACGTCAACTTTTGAGTTTAAAGAATATGTATTATAATATTATAATTCAAATTTGTTAACAAAAAGTTAATGAACTAATTTTGGGGGTTTTTCATGTTGTCCGCAAAGAAAGTTTAATGGTTAGAATCTCACATGAGGGATCTCACGAAATCTTACCAAGGGGGAGGGGGCCAAATTATCAGAAAAATGTCGCACGTTATTAATGGATGTCCCCTATGTTCACCAGAATAAACAGCGTCTAGACGCGAAAGAAAACCATTTAAATAACGCAGGGTTCCCGTTTGTCATAAAATTTTTAAATATCATAAAATAGGTTAAATTGTCCTAAAATGTCATAAAAACTACATTTTGTCATAGAAATCATAAAATTTCATTATTTTTGAACAATTTTCTCACCTTTGATCTTTTTTATAGAATGGAAATTTTGTTAAATAAACTTTAAAGCCGGACCTGTAAAATAAAACGCAATAATGTTTTAAAAACGGCCTTGGTTCTTGACGTATAAACTTCATACTATGAAGGAAAACTTTGTTTAGTCTATGGGAATTTCAAAATTTGAAATAAATAATGAGAATGGTAAAGTTATTTTTATACTAAGTATATTACTTTATAAAAGGAAGGCAGAAAGCGCAAACGCAAAGAAGGACTTGAAGCATTTGATAGTAGTTTGGCAAGTTAGGAAGCAGAGTTAAAAATAGCAAGAAATTTTATTTCTGAAGGAAATAAGAAATTATCAAAGTACCTTAACAATAAGATTACTCTTAAAAAATCTAAAATATTGGAGGCACAAACAATGATTAACATGGGTCTCAAAAAAGCAAAAAAAAAAATAGTATGCGGTTTTATTTATTTTGAGATTATAATACCTATTATAGTAAGATACTAAAGTAACATATATTAAAAATATAATAGAAGAAATATTCTTACAGTCTGGAAATGGCAGTAAACAACGACCTTAAAAGATACACTGATTGGTTAGAATGGAGTAAACTTAAAATAAATGTGAATAAAACTACTTATATGATTTTTAAACAAAAAAACAAATACTTTCGTGAACTACACATTACCCTAAATGATATCAAATTAAATAGAGTCAAATACACAAAATACTTAGGATTAATAATAGACGAAAATCTAAGTTGGAATAAGCATATTGAGTATTTAAGCAATAAAATAATTCCCATGGTGGGTGCAATTTATAAGTGTAGAGACTACTTAGATAAAAATTCAAAATATAACATTTACTATGCTTATTTTTATTCAATTTTAATTTATTTGATTCCGATTTGGGGTACTTGCTCAACAACATTATTTAACAAAATGCAAAGACTGCAAAATAAAATCATTAAAGTAGTATTTAATATTCCATATCTAACAGCAACCGAAGAAATATACAAAAAATTAAATATTAAGCCACTAAAAACTGTAAAAAAAAATTGAACAATGTAAACTAGTGCATAAAACAATCAATAAAAACCAAAAAACTAATCATAAATTTATATTATGCAAAGAGATTCATGATCATAATACTAGGAACCAAAGCAAAATTTATTTAACAAATACACATTCTAATATAGGTTTGAATAATCCAATAAATCGTAGTGTGGAAAGTTATAACATGTTACCCCAATCAATAAAAAATATAAAAAATAATAATATATTTAAGAAAAACTTAAAAAATAATTTCTTAAATGACTACGAAATATAAAAAATTCGCTACAGTCTCCATCACCAGCACAGGGTGCTGATTAGGAGTCTAAATTATTTTCGTTTATGTATTGTATCTTCTCGGACCAAAAAATATTATTAAAATATCTAGTTTATAAGTTTACTTATTTGGAAACAATTGTACAGGACAGTTAAAACGAAAATAAAGATCTTAAAAAAAATTATTTTGATGCGAGAAAAAATATTTATTTTCATATAATAAACCGTTAAAAAATTACATATTTTTTATTAAAATAACTTAAGTTAATTAAGAAATAATAAATTCTTGTCATAAAAAGTGTCATAAAATTTGAAAAATTTGTCATAAAATCATTAAAAAAAAGTAGCAAACAATGCTGGGAACCCTGATAACGAAAAACAATAATAATAATAATAGAGATTTCTGAAATTCTATGCAAATTTATACATACCGTCATTTAGTAGATCTATAGTATTCACAGCCTTATTATCTTTACTACTAATGATGTTAGTCTGGGGGGCATCAATATTTACACTCTTATAAATTCCCTTTTTTATATTATTTAACATCTCACTACAATAAGTGGGGATTGCAATATTCATCTTATCTTCAATTTTATCAGAATGTTCTTTCATTCTTTTATTCTCCTCTAATAATTGTTTTTGTACCTGACCTAGCACATAACTATTTACAATTTCTCTACATTGTTCAGTAAAATTTTGGGGTAACCAACCATTTTTAGAGTCATAATTTGATTCTGAATGAGGCCTAGGAAGTCTTGCTAACATATCTTGAATTTCAGGTATATAAATATCACAGTACTACAATAAATAAATAAATATTTTAATCTTCCAGACCAATTTATAAATATTTTCGTACAATGGAATAGGAATATATTTAAATTATATTCTCTTATTAAATAAAATGTATAATCCAAAAAACTTACATGATAAAACATTTGCCTTGCAGGTGGAATGGTGGTAGGTCTTAAAATGTAACTGCTTTCGTCAATAAAATTTTTCTTTGATGAAAATTTATCATTTAAGGATACGTTTTGAAGATTAGTATTTGAAAAATAAAATGCTGCTTTACTTGCATAATTTCTTTTGGCGTTTACTTTTAATTTAGTTCCCTCTAAAAAAATAATAATAATTAAATAAATATTTTTAGAAAAATGGTTAAAAATATAAGAATCCATTGTATTTTCAAATCGTAAAATAAAAATTAAATTATTGAATATGAATATGGGGTCGTATGGCAAGCCCCATCGACATCACCTTACACTAATCTCCCAGGGTTATATTACCCCCTTTCCGTTCTCCTACGTATCCCGAAGCTGCACAGCCTTACCTATGTTTGTTGGATCTGAATTTTTACGCCGGCTGGTAGCTCTATAATAATAATAATAATAATTTTAAATATTTATTAACGGATTAAAATGAATAATACAGTAAATAAATAACATAAAGATAACAGAAATAACAGAAAATTCAATTTACAATAACATTTAAAAGTCTCCCCTAGGAGGTCGTGGATGACAATGTCGATGGTTAAGCCCATTCCCGGAATTTTGTCGTCGGGTCGGACAATACGCCCAATTTAGGCTAGTGGATTGCGGGACAAGGAGGGAAAACATGTTGGTTTTTGGAGGACGTTGAACTGACCCAAAACTAAGTACAACCCGGAATCCTCCATTAACCAGGGCTTTAGTAATAACCCCATTCAATTGGGAATCATGAATCATGGGTAGTACGCTGCTAGAACCTATCCTTGTTGGTGTACTTCCTGATCGTCTCTGTCCGTGTCTCTGACCGAGTCGGATTCCGGTTCCTGGTAACCGCTTTAGAATTGTTTGCCCCCTGTGCGATACTGAATCTTGTCTTCAGTACCGAAATGTTGCCGCCCGCGACCCGCCGTAAGTTGTGACCTCTGCCTTCGTGGAAAATCGACCCCTCATGCCAAATACCGACTTCACAGCTATTTAGCCCGCCTTGATTTAACCTACTGAAAAATTTCAGATACACGAATTATTGACCCACTGTGCGTAACTTATTTGTCGTTAGTTGCCCTTTGCTTGTCTGATTTGACTTATTTAGGTTATTTCTTATTTACGCGCTCGTTTGATTTATTTTAAGAGACTGTTGTTTATTTTAGTTTCGGTATTTTTTAAACACTTTTATTTTATGGGGCTGGCCTCCAAGTTTATGCTAATATTATTTTTGTGACGTTCTTATTTGATTTGGTTTATTTACACTCTTTTTTCGGTAATAATGATTGATTATTGCCAGGATTTTGTTGCAAATTTGCGTATTAGGTCATGCAGTTATTATACTTATCATATTTTGCAGATGGTGTCCCATTCCACTCTTGGTTAGACTCGTTTATTCTTCACATAGGTGATGACCTGTTCCGTGTCACTTAATTACTTCCGTGTTCGTAAGGATATTATCCCTGTATTCACATGCTGAGAGCTTGCTTTTTGAGGCACTATTTAATGTTTTTTGGGGAACAGATACACTGCTTTTACCTGTACAGGTAGTAAACTATTAGCACTGATTTTAACTGCACAGGTAGGAAAACTAGTAGCACTAATTTTCCTTGAGCGATTTTTATGTTTCTTTAAGACTTTTATTGTGTTTAGGTACTTGAGAGCGCTCAAGCTCACAAATCTATTCGCTTTTACGTCTGATTTGGAACTGGTAAAATAAAAATTAAATCATTTAATGATAATTAAGTTGAATATCATATAAGGGTCAATCCATCTTAAATCGCTCAGGCGATATTAATAGAAAATTTGGACTATTTTAGAAGATATGTATTTTTTTCGCTCTTGAAGCCAGGGTTTTTGAAAAAAAATATTTTTTTCTTTATGCCTACTAAAAGCGATTTGATTTGGCGGGAAAAGCGATTTGACGTTTCGACAGATCCTGCGAATTCGCAAGATTTGAAAACTGGTGGGCGGTAATCTTGAGATTCATCCTATATTTTGCGAAAATCGAACGAATTTTTCCTGAATTTGTGACGTGATGTTCGTATGAATATCACGAATGTTGTCCGGGTAATTATATGCCTATGGGCATAATTGGCATAATTGGTAGTGTTCTTCTAAGTAAACCTTTTTCTCGTTCAACTAATGCGAGTCTGCAACTTACACATATACTAACAGGGAACTTTAGATTCTCTAAATTAAAATTAGAATTTAAATGTTTCCTTATAAGTTCAGCACATTCTTTGGTTATTCTGAAATTCTTTGCCGTTTTTTTCCCAAACACTATCTTTTGGCCACAAGATGCACAAACTTTTTCCCGATTTCCATTGTGACATACGTATTTCGACATGATGATATAATATCAGGATCAGCAAAAACCTTTCCTGTAATGCAAACAACGTAGATCGGGGCGGTTTATCAATGTCAGTTAGTTAATATTGAAAGTCTAGCAAAGTTTGTCTAAACTTTGGGCTTCAATTTGGTTTAAAATAAAAACAAAACCATCATGCATTTATGAGCAGAACATTTTTTTAATACCAAAGTAGATGAAATCAAATACCTAGGGCTTAAATTTGACAAAAAACTTTCATGGACAGCACACAAATTTAAAAAGAAAACGTCATCAAAAGTAAACATGGCCGGCCTATACAGTCAAAGACAATACAACACTAAACAGCGTTGCCAACCGTACCATAATTATGGAATTGTACCATAATTTCACTATCTTTTCCATAATTTTTTTAGGCGTACCATAATCAATAATTGTACCATAATTTTGCAACTTTGCGTTAATCCTCATTCAACGGCAAAACGATTTTTTCAGTTCTTGTGATTTTAAAAATAAATGTGTAATTTATGTGTTTTTAATTTTTTATACCATTTTTGTTTTGAACAGTTGCTCAAACTGGCTAAATATATTCTTTTTCTATGGGCTAAACGTGGCAACCCTGACCACTGAAACCTGACTGTCAGATGTCATGCCCGTATGCACCGTTTTAAAGCCTAAGCCTAGTTAGCAAATCGCGATTATGTTAATCTTTCTCCATCATAATGCACCGTACGCGGATTGTGCAATCTGGATTGGCGATTTGGCAAAGCTGTTTTATTTAAAAAAAAACACAAAAAACTGTCAATTGTAAATTCAAATCGATTGACAACCATAGAGAAACAAACTATGTTGACAAACTAAAATTTAAATTTTGTTAAATATGCATATGCCTAATATACAATAACTTTTATATGGAAATTTTTTTTTTGGATCATCCTTCGTGTGTCTATAAAATGGGAGACCAGAATTCCTAACTTTTCACCAGCGGAAAAAGAAAATCTAATGATGATTGTTATGAGGTATTCTAAAATATTGGAAGACAAAAAAAACTAACAGAACTAACAGAAGAATATTTAATTTCATTAAGAAAGTTTAGAACGGTGGGTTTAGTCAATCGAAATCGGCGAAAAAACAAAAAAGTCCATGGTGTTTATTCGCTCCTTTAATAATTTCGTCGCGGAAATCCAAAATTAATTATGTCCAGAATATCTTGATCATCTTCTACAAATAGTTCTTCTTCTAAATCCATTATTTAATTATATTTTTTACTATTTCTACTATTACTAGTTTTTGAAATCTACTTTTGAAGTTTGGAACTAAAAATTTGGTTAGAAAATCAGTTTTAAAGCCTAGTTAGCAAATCGCGATTATATTAATCTTCCTTAATCCTAATGCACCGTACTAGGATTGTGCAATCTGGATTGGCGATTTGGTAACGCTGTTTTATCTGTCATTTTGACAACAAAACTAAATTCAAATCGATTGACAACCTAAAATTTAAAGTGTTTGTTATATATGTAGGTATATGATTATTATATGCATATAATAATTATTATATAAAAACATTTTTGATCATCCTTCGCCTGTATAAAATGGGAGACAAAAAGTTGACCAGAATTCCTAACTTTTCACCAGCGGAAAAAGAAAATCTAATGGCGATTGCTATAAGGTATTCCAAAATATTGGAAGACAAAAAAACTAACAGAACTGGGCTTGAAGAGAAAGCTGAAGCATGGAAAGCAATTGAAACCGAATTTAACAATACGGCACCTATTCTAGCCTTTCGAAGTCAAGAACAACTAAAAAGGCTGTATGAAAATAAAAAGAAAGATCTTCGAAAAAAGTTTTCAAACTATAAAAAAGAAACTTATTTGACTGGGGGAGGACCTGCTCCTAAAGATGTTCAACTGGACAGGGTAGATAATTTATTATCTCAAATATTAAATGAGAAGAGTGTTCAAGGATTTTATTCAGAATTTGATTCTGATAATTTGGACCATCAAAATAATGAGACAAATAAAAATTTTGAACCAAGTCTCAAGAAACAAAAAAACAGGCAACATGCATTAACAGCCGGATATTATAATAACGAAGAGAAAGATGTTCAAATATACGAATTTGTTCCATTTGAAGAAACCGAAATTGAAAATATTGTAAGCATATGTTTGGGCACACACATTATATTCTAAAAATCATTTTCTAGGCAACCCATGATATTTTGTCAATACCTGATCAGGAATTTGATTATCAGAGTAAAAGATGTCCACCTACAGGCCTACAAAAACCTATAAATCCAAAACTGCTCCCAAAAATAGAAGCCTCTTCTGCCAGTAAAACAGTAAACACATCTGCAGGTGGAACCAATAAAAACAAAATCCCTCGTTCTGATAGAAGGAGACCTGTTGGAGGGTTGCGTGCTCTAACATCTTCGGATGTTGGAGAAAAATACAATATATTATTGGATAACAGATTAGTTTTAGTAGAAAAACAGCTAGAACAGATCATAGAGTCAAAAACTTTTGCTCAGGAGGAGCATAGACAAAAAATTAAAATTTTAAGATTAGAAGAAGAGAATTTAAGATTGGAAAAAGAAGAAAAGCTTTTAAAAGTAGAGCTGCTAAAAAGTAAAATTCAGCTAGAACGTATTTAAGTTTAAATGTTTTTATGTTAGTATTGGCTGTTAAAGTTTAAAAGTTATTTTGTTTTTTTGCTATATTTGGTCTGTTTTTACACTGCTACTATTACTATTACTATTTTGAAGTCTAATTTTGAAGTTTAAAACTGAAAATTTGGTTAGAAAATCAGTTAATCCTGGGATTAAACCTACCTCGCCGGTGGATCTCGTAATCGAACACTTAAACTACATTTTTCGCGCGGTGCATGATAAATTTTCGAACTAAGCGAGATTAAACTCCTAATCGGGATTAAGTCCATACGGTGCATACCTACCTCGCCGGTGGATCTCGTAATCGAACACTTAAACTACATTTTTCGCGCGGTGCATGACAAACTTTCGAACTAAGCGAGATTAAACTCCTAATCGAGATTAAGTCCATACGGTGCATACGGGCATCAGTCACAGAAAAAGAAATTCTCTTAAAGAATATATTTGTTATATGAATATATGTCAGTGGTCAGATTCTGTCATCACAATGCATATATATGTAATCAAGTACCTAAATTTAAGTATTAAATTAACCATGGATACCTCTGACTCTGAGTCGGAATCAGCAAAGCGGCCTAAATATATTAAACGAACACAAAAATACAGATACGAATGGGAACAGCAACCTGATTTTGTCGGTTGGTTAAAGTCCGTGAAAGGTATTATCAAGTGAATTAATATTTTTCAATCTCAATCTTTTTCTGTTTTATTGTGTAGCGACAGGGCATATTGCAAAGCATGTAAAACGGATTTCCTTGCTGATATAAGTGTTATTAAAAACCATTCCAAAGGCATGAAACATAAAAAACTTGTAAAAAATTTGTTAGCTCCATCTCAAAGAAAAATATCACAGTACAAAAAAGTCCATGAGACTGAGATATCTAAAAAAGTAAAACGGGCGGAGGTTAAGTTATGTGGATTTCTGTCAGAGCACAACTTAGCAATAAGACTGATGGACCATCTGATACCCTTACTAAAGGATATCTTTTCTGATTCAAACATTGTGCAACAAGTTGCTTTAGAACGCACAAAAGCCACAAATGTTCTAAAAAAATGTTATAGGCTTTTATGGTAGAGATATTCTTATAGAAAAATTGAAAACAACTAAGTTTAGTTTTTTAATCGATGAGAGTACCGACGTTGGGAGCGTTAAAAATATTTGCGTTTGCGTTAGATTTTGTGATGATTCTGAAAACAAGATTTGTACAAAATTTTTTGATCTTATCTGTTGTTACACAGCTGGTGATTCAAATGAAGCAAATACTGGCATGACAGCCGAAAATATTTATAATAAAATCATGGATTGTTTCAACAAACGGAATATACCTTTAGAAAACAGTAGGTTTTGGATCCGATGGGTGCAACACCATGTTTGGAGATCATAACTCAGTTGTTAGCCGATTAAGAGCAAATTTACCGGGCATAGTGGTACAAAAATGCATTTGCCACTCCCTACACTTATGTGCAAGCGAAGCCTGCAAAGTTTTACCTCGCCAATGTGAAGATCTGGCTCGAAATATTTATGCTTTTTTTAACTGTAGTGCAAAAAGACAGGCACAGTTGCTGGAATTTCAACATTTCTGTAATGTGCAACCACATAAGTTGCTACGCCCTTCACAAACAAGATGGCTTTCCCTCTTAATGGTTGTTAACAGGTTGATAGAACAGTGGGATCCTTTGTTACTATATTTTACTAATAATGTTTCAGAACACCGTCTGCAAAACTCAGAAATTGTATTAGCCTCTTTAAGGGATCCAAAGACAAAATTGTTTTTTTATTTTTTGCAATGGGTCTTACCACAATTTGTGCACTTAAATGAGTATTTTCAGAGCGAGCGTATTGTTCTTACAAGTATATTCAGTAAGTTTAAAGAAACCTACAAGACACTTCTGTTAATGTTTTTACATCCCCAATATGTGCATCAAACTAATTTGCAGGACATCAATCCCGGAAATGCTGAGAAATTTGTCGACTTTAAAAATATGTATTTAGGAATCAATGTTTTAAACAATATAGGAAAGTTGACAGATGACGAAAAAAATGATTTTTGCTACAGATGCCAAAGATTTTTAATAATATCCTGTCATGAAATTAAAAAAAGATTTGATTTCGATGAAAATGGATTTTTAAGCCAAATATCAATTTTTGATTTAAATAATGTGCAATATAAAAGTGTACCAACATTGTTACCGATTATGAAACTATTTCCAAGACTAATTAATAACGCAGATAATGAAAGGATGCAAGAAATAGATGACCAATGGCGTCTTCTTCACCACTTCGAGCTTCCCGATGATGTCAAAAATGAGCCTGAAGTAGACCGATTATGGTTTAAAATTGGAAATTTAAAAGATTATACTGGTAGCTTTAAATTTAATGTATTATCAAAATTTGTGTTAAATATATTAGTAGCACCTCATTCTAATGCATCGTGCGAGAGAGTGTTTTCTAAAATTAATTTAATTAAAACGGATTTGCGCAATAAACTTTGCAGTGAAACTATTAATGGTTTACTGTTAAGTAGCCAATTAATGGACAAAAATTGCGTTGGATTTGATCCACCGTCACCTATGTACAAGCTAATGACTAAAGAAATGTATTCTAATAAGAAGACTGATGGTGGTGATATTCAATTCGAAGATCTCATTTAATTAATTAATTAATTTTTTTACTTTAAAACCAAAGTTACTGTTAGAAATAATTATTTTTATTTGTTGAAAACATTTAAGTTTTAAATATTTTATTTTGTTTATTAAATTAAAAATGAAAATGTGGTTATATTTTTTTCCTCTATCCATTTAAAAAAAAAATGCCTCTTATTTATATTTTAGAAGGTGTACCATAATTTTATGAATTGTACCATAATTTTGAGGGTTGTGTACCATAATTTGTTTTCACATGGTTGGCAACACTGACACTAAAACATAAGAAGATGCTCTACGACGCATATGTAAAAAGTAATTTAACCTTCATGATACCATTCTGAAGAACAGCAAACAAAAGAGAAACAAATAAATAACAGAGTCCAAAGTCTTACATAAAAATAGAGATGGGAAAATTCCCATTAGACGAAAATTCCCGGAAACTTTCCATCGAAAATTCCCGAAATTTTCCGAAAGTTTCATAAAAAAATTTTTTATTGCGAAAATGCCAGGGATTTGCAAAAATATATAACACATTAACTTTTTGTCAAATTTTTGGTTGCATTAACGACATAGATTTTCTTACAGAACTTGCTTGAGAGCATGCATGGTCTTTTTTGTTTTTTTGCACTATTTTGTAATAATTCCAAACACTAGATTTTTCTCTTGGCATTGTGCTATGCCTATAAATAAACAACAAAAATGTAAGAATGATTTTAAATTTGTTTATTTTTTTAAAAAAGTTTTTTGTGTTGATGCTGAATAATCCGGCTTTATTGAGGTTATGTAAAATAACTTACATAATGTAAGTTACATTATTTATACTTCTTCTTCTGCTTTAAATTAACACAAATTAAATTCTTATTCAAAGTTTCTTGGCCTTGTATCATGGCCTTAACGAAAATCAGCGGTTAAACAATTGACATTTAAATGAAAAAACAAGGAAAGTTTCCAAGGAATGTTTCCAAGGAATGTTTCCGGTAGCTTAAAAGAAACTTTCAAAATGAAAATAAATTCCCAATTGGAAACTTTCCAAAACGGAAAGTTTCCTTAAAATGGAAACTTTCCGATTCCCATCTCTACATAAAAACAAACAAAAAACAGCTACAAAAAAATATATATAAAAAAAACATTTGAATATCAATGAATTACAAGTACTAAAAACACTTAAAATAATACATAAATTAAACAAGATACCTGCAAACCTAACAAAACGGAAGAAAATCAACAATTAGAAAACTAGACACAAAAAAATCAAAATAGAATAGTATAGATTAAAAACAATAACTAGTCAATAACAACTGATGCATGAGGGAATAAGGAAATAGTTACCAACAAAATAAAGGGACATGAAATCAAAGACTTAAAAAAAAGAAATAAGAATTAAGAATAAGTAGTATTTGTATACTACATTATTAATCTGTGGTGGCCCATTAGGGCACATTAAGATAAGTATTTTTCTAAATAAAAAAAACAAACAAACCTGCTGTTCTTATTCGGTAATCCAAAATTTGATACACCCTTGAACTGCTATCTTTTTGTGGATTATAACCATATTTAATCCAAGCCATTCTCCAGGGTCCTGTATTACAAAAGTATGCAACTGCTGGCAAAACTACCTTAATATGTTCCATACTAACCCCACTTCTGTGTACAATGGCAACTTTAGTCCACATGGGCCTTTTATCAAAAAACTAAAAAATGTTCTAAAATTATTTAATAACATAAGCATTGAGAGAAGTATTATTTCTAAGGTAATTAAAATAAAGAAACGTACAGTTTTAATAATTTTATATTGTTCTTCCAATTGTTTGTCTTTGACTAGCTGCATAGCATAATCTAAAGGCTTTTCAGGAATATTGACGTTTAGGTTTTGAAAGTCAATAAAAATAGATATCTGCTTTATTGACTGCTGCGTTTTTCTTTGTTTTTTTGTCATATTGAGAACTGTTTCAGCAATTTCTGGTCGTAAGTGATGTTCATACTTTTCACCTACATTTAAAAATAATTTATTTTGACTGGAGTATTCAAATCTACTAAACACAGAGGGCATAAAAAACCTTTTTTGCTCTTTTGTTTCTCTTTGGCTAAAAAGAAAAAAAAGAAATTGTGATATTTAAGGTAGGTACATTCAATTTTTATCTATATTTATTTACTTACGTAAACCATTTTAATGTAGGAATTTCTTTTGGAAATATATTATCATAAATATATTCTGCTTTAAATGTTTGTAATTCACAGGGCGTTTCCACTAAAGGTAAATATTGAAAGTCAGAAATCCCTTAAATAAAAAATAATAAATAAAGTACCTACAAATATTATAATGGGAAATATTACTGTTAAATGTAAAATTTATAACTGTACTCCCAACCACTTCATATTCCAAGGTATTTTGGTTTATTTTTATTAAAAGGCCAGGGTTAAAGTCTCTCTCGCCTACGGTGGATTTATTAAACTTATTTTTTGGATGAAATCTTAATTCTAATCTGGTTTTCGGATCTGCAACAGCCTAATAAACAACCAATAATAAAATAATTTTTAAAGCGCAACACAAAGGGTACTATTGTTTTTTTGTTAAATTTTAATTTAATAAGTTTTAAAGAGTATATTCCAGTCTGGCTTAAATTAACACGTATTTTTGGCACACTATAGTATGTGAAAATTATTTACTAATACAATTTATAAAAGTATTTCTTCCAAGCAGGTAAGCTATTTTTTTATAAAAAAAAAATCCATGACAAATAATACAGCTTAAATAAAACAAGCCAAAATCATTTAAACCAAGTTCCTACGAAGAATTTTGATACTCTGTATTCTGCTATGTTAACAAAAAGCCTATACTTTATTTTTTAAACATTCAGATACACCTTAAATAGTTTATTACACTAAAAGGGCCGAAAGTTGAATTTTCCGCGGTCATAATATCACAGGGAGTAAATGTTAAACTTTTGTCCCTGCTATTAGGGACGAAAGTAAGTAGGTACTTTCGAACAAGGTATGAAGAAAAGTTTTTTTTGCTTCACATATATAGGTGGAAAATTGTTTGATCTTTAATAGTAGGTATATTATGTATCAAGTTTGATAAACGCCATTTTAGACACGAATTTAATTTTGGCACTTAATTAAATGAGTGCCTAAAAAAGTTTATAAACGAGTTGTATACTATACTTTTAATACAACAAATACGTAATATTATCTAAACAATGATTTAAATCAAATATTTGTATTAAGCGACATCTATACGAGAATAAAGTAACCATCCCAATAAACATTTTTGACGTAATTTTTACCATTAACATTGCCCGTTATTATTTCAATTAAACTTAAAAATTCGCATATGGGCAACAACAGTATCAAAAAAAGTAAAAAAAGCTGAATTTTGGGATTTTTAGTGCAATAAGTGTAAAATTACTCATATTTTATGCTGCAAAAGTGGCATAAATATATTTTTAAAATTAATCCCTAGATGGAAACTTGTGTCTGTCTGCAATTTGTATAATCCCTATCATAATTTTCATCAACACTGTCGTAAGTAAGTTGCGTGTACGTTGTGAAAGTAATTTTGTTAGCGTAGGTGAGTAAAGTTTAAGTTGTCAACAATAAACGTATGAATAAGTGACGCTCCTCACCTAAACGCAAAAGGTTCTAATTTAACGCGTTCCTACGCGGACACGGACACATACGAACAGGAAGTACTTCAAGACCAGCAAGGATAGGTCCTAGCAGCGTACTAACCAACCAAGCCCAATTGAATGGGGTGATAACTAAATCCCTGGTTGAGGGGGAGTCCAGATTGTACTTAGTTTTGGGTCAGTTCAATGTCCCTCAAAAACCAAAATGTTTTACCTCCTTGTTCGCACTCTACTAGCCTAAATCGGGCGTATGGCCCGGCCCGGCGACAAAATTCCGGAAGTGGCCTTAACCATCGACACTGTCAACCACGACCAAACACAGGCAATGCTGTGCAGTGGCGGGATACGTAGGAGAACTGGAAGGGGGTAAAATATCCCTGAAAAATCAGTGTAAGGCGTTGCCGATGGGGCCAGTCATATATTCCTCATAATCAATAATAAAAGAATGAAAAATTAAAAAAATGATCAACACATTTTTAGCAATGCAAATATATCTGCAAAATGCATGCACAAATTTTCAGCAACATAGACATCTCCAAAATTGATGCACACCTTCTTCGGCAACACAGACATATGGCTCAGAATCAGAGTGTGGTTCTTCCTTTGCAAAAAAATACCGTAAGTTAATATAATTTTACAAAAATCTTTGACGATCATTATCTCGGAATTACTACTTATGACACTATTGTCGCCCATGTGCGAATTATTGAATAAAATATTAAAATAAGTCCAAAATATGATTATGTTAAAAAAATATGTTATCCTTTGATTTTTTTTATACTATAATTTCAAAATATTGAAATTTTTACACGGGAAATGTGAAATGTACAAAAAGTGACAGTTGTATTTATTAGAATTCCCGTGAGAATTTCTAACTTGGGAATCTACCGGCGTTAAATTTCAAATTTTTTTTTGTAAAATAAAATTTATTCCTTGAAAATAGAGTAAAAATCCATATAAAGCAGGTTTTCACAGTAAAAGGGAAGAGAATGTTTTATGGACACTGTATGCAAAATTTTTAACGCTTTATCAGTTAAATCTAATTAACTGCACTGCTACGGCGAAATCAAAAGGTCAGTACAAACGTTCATATAATGTTTTCAAATATTGGCGTCAAGAAACTATTTAATACTTTTGTATTTTTGTAATGAGATAATTAAATAATTTTCACATTTAGTATTATTTTACAAGAAAGGCACTTTATTTTAACGATTGTATGACATTTGACAACTGTCAAATAACTTTAAACTAACTTCAGCCCGTGACTAAAGCGCCATAAAGCCACAACTTGTCAATGTGTGTTTATTTAAAAGGTCACTTAGTGTCATGAAAACATAAGTACGATAATGAGCGTTTTAAAGGCGGTTCAAGGCTTTAAGTTTAGCATGTTGTTCTATGATCAAAGGTTTAAGACAAATGATTGTATTTTAAAATTTAAATATCACAATTGTAAGTTGGTCACTTTTAACAGTAATTTTATAATTTTGTCTTTAAGTTTTCCACTGTAAAATCATTTGTTTTCCATTTAACTAAAATGTGTTTTTTTATAAAAATGTTTAAAAATAAAATAATTCTCTTGAAACCAAATGCAACTTAATAAAATAAAATGTACAGAAGGCTGAAATTCTTCATTTTGATTGGTTCCATTTTCTAATCTAGTGTTAATAAGATCGTCTATATTTGGAGATGACGGTGTATGAGTGACCAGGTAATGATAATTATATCGAGGGGTAACCCTGCTTAAAATACCTCATAGAGACCTATACAAAATAATCTATCGGGCGCTATTGTCCATGGTTTTTTTCCGGATACGGCCCGATAGAAAATTTAAAAATTACGTATAGGCACACCATAACTTTTACATTTTCCCTATTGAGACCGATAGTAAATAACTTAATGAAGGATATATAGGGATATCCCTATAGAGCAACCATAAAACATTTGACAACATTTTATTAAAACCTATGTGTATTTTCCGGGAAAATTTTTCCCCATTGAAACCAATAGCAAATAAATCAAGGGTGGATATCCCTATAGAACAACCATAAATCCCAAATATGGGTCCTATACATACCCATACACCCTATAGAAACACCATACATTCCGATAGAAATATCCATCTGTTTGAACAGGGTTTCTATGGGGTATTTTAAGCAGGGAAACCATTGATTTTTTAAAATTAAAAATCGCTTACGAACGGCCAAGGATAACAATAACAAGGGTAGTCAAGCGCAACGCGTCGCTAAGCACTGATTAAGCAAGTTTTCCTTATTGATAACGACTGATAAGGAAAAAAATCACAACACAACGTCCACTAACATTGAACGTTGGTCTCTAAGATTTTAAAGTGGTTTACCCCTCGAATTATATTGAGGAACAACTTTAATAGAAACAAAGTTGTGATGTTTTGCTGACACTAAAAACAATCTATTTCTTCGGAAATCGCCTCTATGAGTTTCGACAAGATAAGACTTTGGTTCTTTAAGTTTTGACTTTTCCAATTGGTTTTAGATCTCTCCAATCAAAACCTTAGGTTTCATTCTCCAAGGCATAGTATAATGTAGAGCCCTCGGTTTGATGGCCAGGATTATCTACTAAAATAGAAAATCTAGTTCGCAATTATCCACGTTACATTGAATTAAGGGTTAATATAAAATAACTTTTCTTTAAAGATAAATTTCCGGATCGCGCATGGCAAAATATTGCACTTGATTTATTTAAATATGATGGAACGTGGTACCTCATTGCAGTGGCGGCTGGTGGATTTTATGTATACCAATATCAGTTATTAGACATGGGACCCACACCAAATTTATAATAGTTTATAATGACATTAAATAAACAAGTTCGGTGCAAACCGAATTTAAATTGAAGTTTGCGAAAAAAAGTTAGTTTTTTCTGTCGCCTCAACCGCCTCCAGGCCCCATTATTGGAGATAATTCAAATTAAACTGGTGCAATTTATTATCTACTATAATTTATCGACAAATTTAAAATTTTATTTAAAAAATCCAAATAATACAGATTTTATTCGATTTTAAATTTTTATGATTTATTTTATTAAAATAAAAAAATATTTAAAATGGTATAAAACGTGTAATATTTGGGTTTTTTAAATAAAATTTTAAATTTGTCGATAAATTATAGTAGATAATAAATTGCACCACTTTAATTTGAATTATCTTAAATAGGGGGGCCTGGAGGCGGGTGAGGCGACAGGAAAAACTAACTTTTTTTCGCAAACTTTAATTTAAATTCTGTTTGCTCAGAACTTGTCTATTTAATGTCATTATAAACTATTATAAATTTGATGTGGTAAATTACACTGCAGGGAGGTGAAAATATCACAGCTAAACGATCGGACACGTAAACTTAATTTTTGGTCGTAGATTAAAATCCGTGCTTGGTTTAGCTGTATCAAGTCAAAATTCAAAGATAATGGAAACACCCTTAATAATTTTTTTTTAAATTAAATTTGGCTGGACCCACACATCAGTTCCAAATAAAAATAAAAGTTAATTGATCAAAAGATACACGTGTCCCTAAGGGTTTTTCTTTTCGCGATCCGGAAATTTATCTTTAAAGAAAAGTTATTTTATATTAACCCTGAATTCAATGCAACGTGGATAATTGCGAACTAGACTTTCTATTTTAGTAGATAATCCTGGCCATCAAACCGAGGGCTCTACATTATACTATGCCTTGGAGAATGAAACCTAAGGTTTTGATTGGAGAGATTGAAGAATAATTATGCGTGAATCACGCAATAAATAACCATCACATTCATATCTGTATTGAACATGAATATGAACTTCTGAATCTATTACATTTCTTTGAGGACAACCCAAATTTATATATTGCTTCAGCTTTATAGAAAT